TGAATAATATGCAGTTAATTAACGACAATGTCTCATCCCAGAAAAGCGATAGTAAAACAGGTGATTTTGAACCAAGATAATGAAGTAAAACTACCATGTACCCTATTTACAAGTATAAGTCCCTGTGACTTGTCCCTGTTTCTTTAACTAAACAGAAGTCTCTGGGAAACTGAATGCATCTTAGTGTAATAAAAGTGTCTGCGCAAGGAGGAGATAATTCGACGGATAGGATTGTAAAGATAACAACTATATACATCATGATTTCTGACACCAGAGACCAAAAGTATTGAATAACCCTCATGCAATACACACAAACTCCATTCGTCAATTGAGTTATTTTTCAATATATCTCATGTCATCTTTATTTTCATTGTAGTCTCATTATGCCTAAACGATCACCATTTCCTGTAGACACACACCATTTCAGTGCTTCAAAGTTTTGTCTGTGATTGTGTCACTTGTTTACCTATTTATGAGTTAAGGTTGATGCGACCCCAGGGGTCCTTCTTACCATTATTTCCCATAACATCATCGGCAGTTTATCAATAGCGATTAAATTTACAGAAAAAATGAATGCATCATCTCTTGTATGACAATCTAATATCCTAAAATGTACTCATATCAATACGAGACAGTTTAAGCTAATTGCATGGCTGACATACATGGTAAAAATAAGCTTTGGATATCATCAATTGCTTGTTTTACACCAGGTCGACCTAGGTGTTTATATATACATGTACCTGTCACAAAGCGCCAATTTAATTTATATAAACATTGATTGGTATATTTTTGTGTTTTCACATGATCATTTTGATTATACAGGTCTAGTACTCAGTATTATGCAGGCCATTTTGTCGTCATGTGTATAAAGAGTGACATGTTATTTACGGGACGCATGAACTAAAGAGACGGTAGATGCATGATCTGTTTTAAGCTCACCTGGTCTGAGCTTATGCAATACCCCGGCGTCCGTCGTCCGTCTTGTCCGTCAACTTTTCCTTTAAAACCCTACTTGTCCTGAGCACCTAAACGCTTTTTAAATCAATTTGCCTGAACTTTAATTGTAGCAGGTTCAATGTTGCTGTGCAACTTTATAATGCTCAATATGATAAAAACGATATGCAACAAAGTGGAAAAATATACATTATTGGTATTTTTTTTGTTTACATATTGTTTACATACTGAATCATTTGATTTTTGACCCAAAACGGTGAAAAATAACACAAATACTAATGGGACAAATAAAGAAGCACACGGACCCCTCATTATTGTGGCTGTGTTAGAAAGCGAAACACATTTTTTGTTGATTCATTATATATTTAAAAAAGTTTAATAGCAGAACCTTTTATATCAAGCGTTTAAACAGCAAAAAAAAATGGTGAAAAAATTAGAATCGTTTCATTAAAAAATACCACACTTGGAAGGAATTGTATGAATTTGTTCTGCAAAAGGTCAAAACAAAAAAAAATCACCTTAAATCACAGATTGTGTTAAATTGGTAACTTTGACCGATCATAGCACAAAAACGAGCACACGGACATATATTTTTTTTTGTATTTTCTACACTGCCATTAACTCCTTTTTCCAAAAATCCATACATGAAAAAAAAAAAAAAAACATTTTTTTTTGACTTCTCAGAGGGGGACATCCTTTAGTGAAAAAAATAACATGAATACACGTTTAACAGTCCCTAGGTCTCTGTATGGAATGAAGTGTTAGAGGGGCGATAACTCTGTTCCTCTGAACGAAATGTTAACACGGCTAAATGTAGCTAATTTGCCGCATATAACACCGATTTGAGTACGAAAAAAACGGCTCCATAACTTTTGCTGAACTTTCCAAGTTTGTAGAACTCGCGATATACCTCCTTGTGTATCTGTTATATCTGGGGAAAATCTAGTTATTGAGATATTTGGTGTAAAACACGCCAAAATCGACATTTTGACCATTAGTAGCTGTATAATTCACCCTGGAGAATTAACACTTAAAGCTGACGAACTGAAACTTCAAACATAGGTAGTCCAAGTTATTCTAAAGAAAACGATATATTTAGTTTTTCGATATCTTTCAAAGAACGGCCCTGAGAGGGTTTTGAAAATGGTGTGTATTTCTAGGGTTTCGTAGAATTTTCCAGAAGTTCCGATTTCCCCGTAGTCCAGCGCCAATTTGGGTACCCCATATAGGCTAGAATTGAGATAAGAACTTGTTGCGCATGCGTTAAATACGAAGAAATGTTCTAGCCGCTTATCCGGTTCAACTTGTAGGCCTAGCGGTGAGTTGGATGCATTTTTGACTAGTGCCAGTAATTTCTACCATTTTACGATAGTCTACGTTATGGCTATGATCACAGTCATGCATGTAAGATATGACCAAGCGTTTAAAATATCTAGCAAAATCCCGTAGGCCTCAATATACATGTCTGTTGATGTTGCGGAACAGTTCCCGTTTCTTCAATATTTACTTTCGTTATTTTTTGTTTCTACGTTTAATTAAATTAAGAGTTCGGTGTGTGAAGCCTGTTCAGTGTTTGTGGTAATCTCTCATTTGTGATAATTTGTTTACGTCTAAAAATAGCCACGGTAATCCCCAGCTTGAGGAGACATCCCTACCCCAGAGACGTATAATACGTCTCTGACTACACGCACGACTAGCATATTACCTGAACATTTATTACAATGACAGTAGGATCAATTACAACGATGACTGTAATGAGTCAATATCAGAAATTGTCACATTTTTTTGGAAAAGGAAAACGCGAAACGAAGTCCTGTGCTGTTACTGCATATTTTTTTTTTTTTTCATTTACAGTAAGTATAAACACATCAAATGAATTTTAATAAACATTTAAAATGTTGTTTCCTAAAAATTGTTGTTTTGGTAGCCTAGGTATAACTAAAAAATACCACACATATTTACAAAAGGTCCATCCTGTTACCAATACCATTACAGATTTTAACAAGAAAAATAAATGGATTAACTTATTCTTGTGATAAAATATCAATTCTAATTAATTTCACATATTATTGTTTCAAAAGCACTGGTCGAACGGCACTGTACAGGTTCCGGAAATAGGAATCACCGAAGCGAGCGCTAACTAAATCACGTTGTTGTACACCTCCAGTCGAGGTAAATTGGATCATTTTAATCAGTACCCATGTTGTATAATTAGTCAAAACGGAATTATTTTTGCAACTTTTCAACCTGATAAACTGTAATATATATGTATATTTACTTCTTAATCTTACATAATCGATCATTAATTACAAGCGCTGACATCCAAGTCGATCTAATTTCTACAATTCTGATAATAAATCTGAAATTTTGATTGAATTCAGAGAAGATGATGAATAAAGAGTGTATGAGGAGACATGCAATCAAAGCAAATTCCTGTTAAGTTAATGTCTGAAGTTTGAACAACCGTGGCTCTTAATCGACGATTACAGTATAGTTACTTGCTTGTTTATATGATAAAATTGACTATGATTACTAGTGATTGTACTGTCGATTACTTGCGATTTCCTTGTATAACTAGTACATGGTAACAAGTCGCTTCCGATTGTTATTACAGAGGTTTTGCAACCTTACGGGTACATGTGAGCTACAGTACGCGTACAACTATATTCTATGATTACATATAGGACCGTCAACATGTACGTGTGTAGCATGTAAGCTCTGACGTTTCAACTTTCTATCGTAATATGAAAAGGCAAAGCCTAAAAAGAGCGTTGCTTTTGTTGATATCTGATATTTAAAGGGGCTGGTCGGGGAAAACATGTCATATTTGCTAAACTGGCATACACATGTTTAAAATACCTTCTTATGAAATATACCAATTTAAATTTTACTGAAATTTACTCCCTAAGAGTAAAAATTATAATTATATTAAAGAAATCCTAAATCGTCACCTGACAGTCTAAAACTCTCAATTGACCCGGATCAGTGATGTAATTTTACCGCACGCGCGTCATCAACAAGGCCAAATGTAATCGTCGCGGCGAAAGAAAAAGATACATGCAAAAGTCATTGACAGGCACGAGGTATCAATACCGTTATATATAACACAACATATAGGTAGGAATACTACACTTGCATCATACATGACCTTTGAAAACAATTATTTACGTATAGAATTGCTGTCTTGTCCGCTAGAGTCCGACATGGCACATGATGGCGTGCTGTTGTTGTTATCCTTACTGCCTCACTTTCGAAACAACCACGTGACATATATAAATAGATCTGCGCTAAATTTACGCAGGGCTTCCCCGATATTTCAGTGGTCAAAAACGGACATTGCAAGCAGAACTCGACCATCATATTTATGTGGTATAACTTTTGGAAGGCCAGAGAACGCATTTAGACCCATTTATCTGTATGTTTTTCCCCGACCAGCCCCTTTAATGATTCAGAATGAGATAATACTGATCGAATGGCCGAACCAGCCCCCCATGGGGTAAGTTCGGACAGGAATTCGGGTAAGTTAGGCCCCCCTTGAAATCAGCTTAATTACATTGTAATAAAACATGCAACGTCAGATTTTCCCCGCCAATTTTACGAATTTTTAAGTGTTGCATGGGCTGAACCTGTCTGGCTCAAATTGATATTTCAATAAATTCTTATAGTACAACAATATGACGGTAAGAGTTTGGCTTGGCTATTATGTATATCATTTGAAGCTGTCGGTGTTTCACACGCTTGACCATCAAAAACATAGCAATAGCTCTGTTCCGAGTTCCGTCCGGATCAAATTGGTTCTGACTTTATGCGCGGCGGAAGTCACGTGATTTTCTGCAAAGTCTAGGCATGCTGACTTCCGGCGTCCGTAGCAACGTCGTCTGCTTCAGTCATTATGCCGTCTAACAAGCATTGGTGCGTTGTACCAGGGTGTAATTCGGACGGGAGAAAAGTTGGTCGGTATCCCTTTATGCAAAATGTTCAGTATGTTCCGTTCCCGGGTATTGTTAGAAAGCCAAAACTTCGAAAAAAGTGGTTAGACCAGATCATGAGGAAAGACTAAAAGGCAAAACCACATCACCGTGTCTGCTCGCTCCACTTCATCGACGGCAAGCCAACAGATGATAATCCAGTCCCTACACTTTTCAGCAGAAACAATTATGGGAAACCCAAAGCAGTCAGAAATATGACGTCAATTACAAAACGACAGGTAATAACTCCCCAAGTAGAATGTATGCATTGTAAGCATTGTACTAAAAAAGTATATGATGTACTATTAGCCTATAAAAGTAGAAATTAAACGGAGAGTGTGGGGATGGTCACCGCAAAACTTGTCATTCTCTTTACTTTCTTTTAAAACTACTTGGTAGGTAGAATAACTCAGAACGTATTTTTAAGATGCTGGAACTTTTCAATAGAAACAAAATTTATTTTTGAAGGAAACATTAATTTAAGACATTTAAGTAATAAAAAGGTTGTAAATACTTAACACACATTTTTCTAAATAAGAATCATGTAGATCATTTTGATTATAACTCATTGATTATAATTGATGATGCAATTTTACTTTTGTAACTTTACAAAAAGTTTATTCTGTGTATTTATTTTCTTAGGAACACCTACAGGTAGCATCTATACCATCAGCTCTTGAAGAAAGAAATCTTCCATCTGAAGTTGACATGGTGTTTTCCCCTCCATTTGTTTGTACTGTTGAAGTTGAAACAGCTGTTGATGCCATAGATTTCTGTGCTGATCATTCATGCTTCTTCAATGAAGGTAAGGAGTGAACTAATTACCAGGTTTAGTTAATTCTATCTAATTTGAACCATATCCTCATACAAGTAATTGAAATTAAAAATATGGACTCTGTATAAATATAAACAATATCAACCATTTAATGGACACTTGTTTTATAATTAACATTGCAGATGTGGATATGTCAAAAGACCATAGCTACTCTGTAGGACAGATTACATCAGACACAGCTGTAGAAGTCAGAGATTCTGCTGTCCAGACAGACTTATCCATGTGGGATATACAAGCTAATTCACAGAAACTTGAAGACCTTGAACAGAAGCTAGGAAACAAGGATGCTCTTTTGCGGAATTTGTTTGTTGACAAAGTCACCAGAACAGATGAGAGTGTGATGCAGTACACAGGAATACCATCAAGGGATTTGCTTTTTGGACTATTTGGTTTGTACATTTATTTTGTTTGTATTATTGTATTCATTCCAGTCATTGTGTGATAATGTAAAATATTTATGTCTTTTTTAAATTGAGCCACATGCATATTTTGATTATAATGGTGTAATATACCTTGTATGCTAATGCATGGATCCTTATATGAATCTTTTCAGTGGTATAGATTAGCATTTTCAATATTCAAATAGGTGTACAGTGAATCAAGTACAAATACTGGGTATGATAATGTAAATTCATACAAAGTTAAGGACTTCTGATTACCTCCATTAATACATAAGTTGATAAATAAAAAAATAGCTTAAGTTCATAGTTTTACACTTTTATGGTACAAATAGTAATAAATTTACAGATTGAGCTCCAGACTAGCTTAACAATATATTGTAAATCCGAAAAAAAGTTTTCATTATTTTTTCAATCTAAATTTGTGTATTTTTTAAAAATGTCATAGGAATATTAAATAGAGCTTCTCCTACACTGAAGTACTGGTCCGGCCATGGAGGTACTAAAGAAATGCCCAGCTGCCAAGAGGATTCACAAAAGCAGAAGAGTGGCCCAAAAAGAAAGCTGTGTCGTTTTGAAGAGTTCATTCTAACTTTGATAAAGCTTCGTTTGGCATTGCTGACATTTTGTTTAGCTGATATTTTCGGAATTGCAAAAAGCAGAGTTTCTCAAACTTACATCACATGGATTAACTTTATGTTTGTTATTTTCACTCCATTATGGAAGAAGCCTTCTTCCAAAAAAGTGAAAAAATTCATGCCAAGATGTTTCAACATGCTTTTCCCAAAGACAACATGTATCATTGATTGTACATAATTCTTTATTGAAAAGCCAAGATCACCATCAGCTCAAAGTTTGACATATAGTTCATACAAACAAAGGAACACTTTCAAAGCTCTAATCAGCATTACTCCATCTGGTTGTATTAATTTTGTTTCAAATCTATGGAGTGGTAACACATCTGACAACTACATAACAAGAGAAAGTGGGGTTTTAGATAATATTAAACCTGGAGATGAGGTTATGGCAGCCAACATTCTAAACAGACTTTGAATATGCCACCTTTCACTCGAAAATGTTCATGGGGTAAAGGAAAACGTCTCAATGCTACTGAAATAAAGAAAACACGGAAGATAGCGAAACTTAGAATACATGTGGAAAGAGCTATTGAGCGATTGAAACATTTCCATAGTTTATCCAACACAATGCCCTTAAGTTGCAAGCCAGTAGCAAACCAGATGCTGAAGGTCAGTGCCTTTCTGTGTAATCTTCAGAGACCATTAGTGAGAAAGTGATTACTGTCATCATGCAGACAATCATACCTATCCAGGAATCAATCATTAATCAATATTTCAATTTGCTACAATATTTGATGTTAAATTATTATATTGTACATTAATTTCCCTTTTCACGATATATGTTTGGCCTGCAAGTTAAAGGTACATGTATTTCCTGTACTTTTTTTAAAGATGCACAATAGTATACAGGTGTTAACATAATCAATTATATTTTTTTTCCAAAGCCAACATTCTAAACAGACTTTTTGAAGCTTAGCTAGTTTATATATTGTACAAAATAAGAAGCTGTGAAACTTCTTATGATCTATAACATACCTGGTAATCATTTCAATACAATGATTTTTTGAATGATACTTGTAACATGAATTCATTATGGTATGATAGATAATAATTAATCATAAATCAACTAGCTTATGAATTTCATTTGAACAATACAAATTTTGATTATTTGAATATGTCTGTGTCATTAGCCTTGTTTCATTTAGCTGTTCTGCATTACATATACATAATTATACAAGTATGTATTACTGCATGTACTTATCTGGCAATAAGCAAATGACTAGTATACTAAACCCATCCACTTTTATTACAGCTTCATAAGAAATGTCAATAAAATTATTTCAATTACCTTGTAATATGCCAAACTACCTGTTTGAGTCAAAGGTTAAGATTAGTGGACTAGTAGGAAACTAGAACTCAATACATGGATTTAAGATCAATAATGAGTTGAATTGTTCAGCACCAACCTTACCATAAAAGTTTAGTAATTTTCATATCAATTTTCTAAAGTAAGCTTTATTCAGTTTTAACTGACAATAAACACATAGAATTGTCAGAGACTTTCTAGACATAAGATGTACACCAATACATGCCATAGATATTTCTCTATAAATATGTCCTGAAACATGCATAGATCTATATTTATTTTGTGATACTTGTGATACAATTTACTCTATTGAACTTTAGATTTTGGAAGAAATTACAAACTCAGTATTCAACGTTTGGGGTATCAATCAAATATCAATTTATGCACCTCTGATTGTGGATTCCAGTCATAGCAATCACTTCATCACCAGGAATAATCATTGCAACAATGCCTTAGTTACATACTTGTCNTTTTTTTAATATATAGTTATCATAATTCTCATTGAATCGAAAGTGTAACACTGAAGAAAATATGGAAGCTGTCACACGACCTGTCCTGTAAGCAAACCAGTCAATATTATCAGCTTGACCCCTTGTCATTTCTTCAATCCTCTGCACTGTTTTCACATCAGAATGTGTTGAAATCACTTTTGACGCCAACAATTTTGTAGCATCAACATTACCTTTCACAGCATCTGCAATTTCTGTCAAAGTTGGCGGGAAAATTTCATCATCTGAACTGTCATCATCACTTGGTGGATCCAAAGTTTGAAGAAGCACACTATCACTTTTCTTACACAACAGATAAACCTCTTTCTCCACCTGCCTCTTGGACAAACACTCTGTCCTAACCATAGGATTGTAGTTTGAAGCAGTAGCCGACTTGGGAACAGGTGTTACCTTATTTACTCTGGTATCAATGTGCTCAATCTCTAATGGTGTAGTGGTTCTCCTCGGCTTGTCCCAAACACAAACAACGTCTGTGCCAACCTCAGTGCTGCGGTCTTTATGTCGATCACCGAAGGCTGACAAGGCAAACAACAATGCCACACAATGCTTACATGTGTCGTCATCACTGAAAATAAATACATAAATGTTCAATGTACGGTCAAACTTCTGTAGCAGGACTGGACTGGGCGTTGGTGGCCGGATAGCTCAAACGGTTAGAGCGTCTGTCTAGTGTTCGGAGGTCCCGGGTTCAACTCCCGGTCTGGTAATTGGCATTGCATTTTCCCTCTCCTGTTAATTTGGCGCCCAACTAAATACTCAGAGGTGGTATATAGTCTCATGTGTGTATTCGGGTCTCAAACTCTAACTCAAGGACCCTGCTTAGCTCTAATGTAAAATTCGGTTCTGACAGTAAAATTTGTATTTAAAATATATTCTTTATCCTTGAATTCTAAGGGTATCTCGTAGTTTTTTCATGACCTGAGTGACTTCAATATAACGTCGTTTTACTGTATTTGCATTAAATGTAAACAATGTTATTGCAGGGGTTGTAAGAAACAAATACACTTATTTTGGTTACTCATATATATTTTATTTATATATTTTTTTAATTCGATTGGCTCATTGTCATATCACATTCGACTTTAAATTTTGGAAACTTACGCAACACAGGTGCAACCCCCAGATTTCACATGTCCATCCTTCTGTAGGAGAAGCCACGTAGAATACGGAGTGGCACTTTGTCTGGTCTCAGGGATACACGACGCCTTGACGTACAAATGCGAGTCACTATTTGAAATGGTCCCGAGGCAAACGTCATTGATATGATGGTCCATGTAGAGTTTGTAACCATTATCGTTCTTGTAATTTTTCAACCTCGATTCAGACCAACCGCATACGTTCATGAAATATATGATGATATCACAGCACTCCACATTAGGGGCAGAAGTCATATCAGACATCCAGGACTTTACCTTGCTGACGTCATCCAATACAGTTGAATCAACAGTGCGTCTCAGGACGTCCATGTCGTGGTAGTCATCACAGGTCACAACCTCTAAGTCCAACTCGTTTGCTAGCTTGCACAGTCTAACTAAATCGTTTTTACGGTACAAACTGCATGCTATACCCCTCTCTTGCAAATATTGTTTCAAAAATGGCACCTGAAATCCTTCAAAATCCATCCCGGTAAAAATATTTGTATAGCAAGTTGAAAAAGTTGTGAATGTTGAGGAATGTCAGCGTAAACCGGAAGTTTACATGCCTCGATTTTCGTTTCCATGGGTACTCTTTTTTACCTCCACACAGGAGTTTCTTATAACCCGGAGCAGAGCTATTCCGTTTACAGAAAGTTAGCATAACTAGAAAGATGATGCTTTTCTATCTCACATGTCAAAAGTAACATTCTCCTTTAAAGTAATTTCCATTATAGTTTTCCTCATTATTTTTATATGATGTATTTTTTTGCACTCACGTTTATTAGATGTGTAACAGTAGAAAGATAAATGCAACGTCCAGACTGGGGTTCGAACCCGGAACCCTCCAAACTCTGGACCGACACTCTAACCAATTGAGCTACCTAGTCGCCGACAATGGACCCAGTCCAGTTCCGCTACTTCCTTCGTCCTTCGAAAAAGTCTTCGCCACCGAAGACACACCAAATCCTATAAACCTTCCATGGGTAAAAGAGGAAATGTAACAGCGAGACCGGAACTTGAACCCGGAACCCTCCAAACTCTAGACAGATGCTCAACCAATTGAGCTATATGGTCGCCGACGATCGATCCACTCCAGTTTCACTGCATTTCTTCTCCCTCCTCAAAGTTCCTGACCCCGGATAACACCCAGTTTTGGGTATTCCTTTGCTAAGCGTACTCCTACTACATGAAAAAAACGTTGGCAAGATTGCCAATTTTGCGGCAGAAGGACAAGAAAAGGTAACGGCCAAACTAGGGTTCGAACGGCATATTTACTGAAAGTCGATCTAAACCCCTTAACACATATAAAATTGCTCTGAACACCCTAGTTTAGGTCTAAATATAGCTGTAACACATTATCAGTTCCCGATTGTGTTCATATTTTTCTTAACAGGGAAAATAAAAGTGGATAAACTCTGTGTACCCTCACGCTGCAGTTTTCATCATTTGGTATACTACTACATTGACATTTGAGACTTTCTGGAACTAGAAGAAAATTCTTCGTTTGTGTAACTGTCTTCCTAGGTTCCTTTGGTCTTGCATGCAATGTTCAATTATTTTACTAAACTCTATAAACTGTTTTGGCAGTATCTGCACTCGAAATAATCCATCTGTGTGAGAAAAACCGTTTATTCCACCAACAGGCAAATTGTAATAATGCAATGCAATAAACCATACAGTAATATAAAGCCGCAGGCGCTATTAACATACAGTCTGGTCGCTATTTTCCATACAATAGCATGTCAAAAAGGTGCTATTTACAATCATTGTTTATTTTATGCTTAAAAACACAAATGCTTTCGTTAATGTGTGTTTTGAATTTATTAATCATTGAATTAAGCAAAAATACATAAACCATGTGTCAAAGGAGATCTGTAATTTAATTATTGACATAATCTGTGATTCTATATATTTTAATGTGCTTTTTTGTTTCAATTCTGGAATATTTCAAGTTCGTAACGCATGTTGATCTATTAATACACTTATTGTTTTGCATCCACCCTCGTAATGATGATAGTATACCGAAAACATGTCCATGATCACAAGCATGCCATGGTCTTCAAAAATCTGCCTCACTTCGGCAATCGCTCTTTCCAGAACCTTTACAGTGCCGTTTGACCACAGTGAAAAGTATATATACAATTTCATAGTTATTTTTTAATTCAATTATCACACCAATTGTATAATTTACTCAAGTCAATTAGAAACATAAAATAACTTTATGAAACCATATATATATTGTAACCCAAGTACATAAAATTAGTGCAAATAATCGAAAACTATCGCTCAGGTGTGACGTCAGCGACAATCGATTGAAAACTTGTCACTATCAATAGTTTGAAAATATCCTTCACAGTAATTAATACGGCGGAACTATGGGAAGGGAAATCACTCGCTGTCGCCTCATGGTCATGATTAAAAATGGCAGCCACCGCTGCTTTTAGCAACGACGATGATTTGCAATTGTATCCCTATCCATGCAGGGACAGTTAAATCAGCCGTATGGAAATAGTTCATATTCCGAATAAAACAAAAAGGTTTAGTGGGACCTGCCATAAAATCAAATTTAGACATGCCAACTGTCATTTGTAGGCTATGCAAGAAAGCTACGCCAACAAAGGTAAATACGATATATTCAATTACACGGATATAAGTTAGTATCTGAAAGCTTTTCGAAATCAAAATATTCTGAATGCCAAGTATTTTGAAATCGTTGATTGATAAACAAAACTAATGACTAAATTCTTTGAAATGGCATCAGTAGTTCATTAGAGGCCCCCCTACACCCGAAAAAAGGTCATTGTCGTTAGCTGTTTGACGGACAGTTGAAAATAAACAAATGAAGTTATTTTTTAACACTTTGTAGTTTGTATTTTCTGTGATGTATTTACACTCAACATAAAATCTTGCGTTTATGGTCATGATACACACATAAAAATAAATTTTGGAAGACAAGTATTAGTGAGTACTGAACATGTTTAAGTAAGTACTATTACAAAGCCATCCACTCACCGTGCAGTTATGTTACACGCAGGTTAGCATACTACAGAGAGTGCCTAAAGGCCAAAAGGTGCATACAGAAGCAGTAAATCATACTACATAATGATAAAGGATTACTAGCTTGTGCAGTCTGAAGCAAAATAAGTGTTATTGTGTTAATGTACACTTAAAATTATGTAATTTGAAACCAAAACAACACAATACAAAAAATACATATTGCATATATATATATTATAATGTATTCAATCATTTTCAGACTTTTTCTGCACGTGTCTTCCAAACCGATTGAACTATCGGTAATCAGTCGGT